GTTTGGAAATATCAAGATAGCGAATTCATTCTCGCTATTTCTGATCTCCTGGAGCAGAACACCGAAAGAGCAAGACATCGCATCAACTCTCTCACTTCACCAATTCGAAGTATTTTCTTCAAAGAACATAAAACATGAAATAATAATTAATTATATGAATTAATTAAGGGGTAATTTTATTTATTACAAAATCAATGAATGTATATATGGAGGTTTTAATTTATTCAAAGCTTGATATCTGTGATATGAGTTTGCATGAGATTTAATTAGAATTAAACAATTTTGAACAACTTTGTCTTTAGTTGTTGTTGTTGTTGTTGTTGTTGTTTTTAATACAAAATCTCGCACTTGTCCCTCAACATTGTTGCTGTTAAAGTTTGGCTCGATATTCGTCCTTTTTCAGTCCCCTTGCCTTTGCTAAGCACTTTATATTGTTTTTTGGCCAACAACAAAAAAGCAAGAAAAACCAGAAACATTTAAAGCTAAATTTGAACAGAAATATTGCTCCATAAGTCGTTTATTTATTTATTTTTGTTTGTTTGTTTGTTTATTTCTTGTTTGTTTTGTATTTTTTTATTTTTTTTTTGCTTTGTTTTTTTTTTGTTTTTGTTTTTTGGGGTTTTTTTTTAGTGCACTCGGCCCGTGTTTCTGCTACATCACGTAGTATTCGAAATTTTCTTTCATGCGAATTGCTATAAGGAAATTTCGCATCCATTGAACCCATTTGCTATCGGTTGATCAATTTTCATATTTCTAAGCCTCGATTGAGTTAAATATTAACAAGACCACAAACASACCAACTCCAGGTTCCAATTCAGCTTGGGTTTTGACCTTGGTAGCCTAACCAGTTGTCTAATAGCACGCCTCGGCGATATCCCAACTGAATTCAGGATGCCTAAGTACGTACTGCATTATTTCAATGTTAGAGGTCGAGCTGAACCCACAAGACTYTGCTTCGCAGCTGCTGGGATTGAGTATGAAGACATACGACACACGAGAGATGAATGGCAGGCCATGAAGAAAGGTATAGCGATCTTAAAGTATCCCTTGATCTTGCCCTAAGTTCCTGGAGTAATGTATTTTGTCTCCTCAGTGTGCTTTAAGTTATTGCTTAAAATTCATAGATATTACTTCGGTTGTAAGAAGAGAACATGAATGTATTCAATACTTTTATTCAAACTAAAATTCTCTCGTAGCAAAAATGTTTACACAAGCTAGCTCTTCTTGCTCTGATGTTTGTACATGTACGGCGTGAAATACTTAGTAAAGTTATTTTTTAAATCTGTAGCTTAAGAAATCTCTTTACCTGGATTAATGTAGACTTAAGTAATGCCATATTTYAAAGCATCCCTAAAGAATTATAAAATTTCTTTGACTCATCCATAATGCAGGTTGCGGTAAGTTGTGAAAGGACATCTGTCAAACAATTTGCGTCTGATCAGATATCCATGTTAGCGTACAAGAAGATTATTTTTTTTTGCAAGTTTGGATTTGTGAGATAGGAATAATTATAATATTGTTCTTTTAAGATACAACCATTTCTTACTTTACTTGAATATAATTTGTCATTATTTAAGGCATATTTATTTACGTTCCCTTGCGCAATGTATGAAGAAATGAAGGCCTTTGTAGTGACAGAAGCCTGCGTTACTGAAACTAGTAGTGTGACACTCTTTTAGGTAAACTTTGTCACCCTCTTTAATAATAATAATAATAATAATAATAATCTAAGCTTATAAAGCGCTTATAAAACTTTTTCTAAGCGCAAATAAAAAGGTAAAAATTAAGATATTAAGAAAGTTAAAATAGAGTTACAGATCATAAGTTTGTTTAAAAAGGAAGGTTTTGAGAGCAGTTTTAAAATTGTCAAGTGAAGAAATGTCTCTGATGGGCAATGACATTGCAGTAATCAACAATTATAATGGTTTTCATTTTTTTTTCGTAGAAGACGGCTCGACACCTTTGGGGCAGCTTCCAATGATGGTTGTTGATGGAGAGAAGTTCTCACAGTCCATGGCTATCTTCAGATACACTGCAAGGGAAACTGGTTAGTCAATCTAACCTAACTTATCAGCCGGCGATATTGGCGGTCTGCGGTTTCCCCGCCCCTAATTAAAACTGCAGTGCACTACACTGCGCTTTAGGTGTCAGAATAAACTACTGTTGATTTCAAAGTTATGTAATGATCTAAAAATGAATGCTCGGATGGATGGATGGATGGATGGATGGATGGATGGATGGATGGATGGATGGATGGATGGATTGTGAAAAAATCTAAAGCACGAACAAGTTAAATACGGCTTAATAGAGTGGTCATTAAACGAAAGGCGGATAGATCAATGATTAAAACTTCCAAAAAAATAGAAAACTAGCGAAAGAGTGAGCTTAACTCAGTGACCGTGTCTTTTCGTTTGTGCCAGGTCTTTGTCCTTCTGAAAGCCTCCAAATTGCTAAGTGTGACATGATCGTTGATACTGAAAACGACCTCGCAGCCAAGCGCATCAAGTATTATTACGAGAAAGATGAGAAACTTAAGGTAAAATTTCAGATGGTCTCTTTT